TCCCAACCCCTTTGCTCTCACAATGCCCAAGGGCCCCCCAGCGTCTATAAGAGGCCGCAGGGCCAGGCCCTGACTCACAGCCCACGGAGTTCCACCTGCTCACAGGTTGGCTGGCTCGGCCAAGGTGGTGCCCTGCTCTGTGCGTCCAGGCCAAGCCCATCCTGCACCATGGCCAGGTACAGATGCTGCCGCAGCCGGAGCCGGAGCAGATGCTACCGCCGAAGACGAAGATGTCGCACACGAAGGAGGCGGTGCTGCCGGAGACGGAGAGCCAGGAGTAAGTGAGCCCAGCTGAGGGCGGGCTGCAGCTGGGGGCTCTCGGGGCCTAAGCTGTCTCTCACCACCTCTCTCGGTCTCCCCAGGGTGCTGCCGCCGCAGGTACAAGCTGAGGTGTAGAAGATACTAATCGCACATAATTGCACAAAATAGCAAGTCCACCAAACTCCTGCCTGAGAATTTTACCAGACTTCAAGACCCTCTTGCCACATCTTGAAAATGCCACCATGCAGTGAAAAACAGGAGCCTGCTAAGGAACAATGCCGCCTGTCAATAAATGTTGAAAAGTCATCCCACTCTTGTCTCCTTGTCCTTGAGAGGGGAGGCTCAGTGGGGAGGAGGGCTCAGGATGAGCAGACAGGGAGAGGGCCTGGGCACGTGATGGGGAAGGATGAGAGAGTAACAGTTATCACGCTGGGTTTTGTCCCAAACTCTTCGTAGTACCAACAAGTCACAACCAAAACCTGCCTCAAGTCACAATCGAAACCTGCCTCCCCCAGTCGCAATCAAAACTTGCCTCCCCCAGTCACAACCAGAACCTGCCTCCCAAACCCACTCTTCACAGATCCTTACCCAGTGGGGTTGTGGCAACTGAGTCAAGTTTGAGGACCCGCTATGTACATTTCCCCACTCTGCTCAGTGAGTTCATCCTGGCAGCTTGAAATGGACCATGGAAATTTACAGAAATTAGCAAATGCTACAAATCTGGGTTCCCTCCATCCCTGGAGTTCCAGGGGTTCCAGTTAACATTGACCAGCTGGAATTCAGCTCCCCGTATCTGACCTGTCCCCTAGCTGCCCACCCGGGGTTTATTTTAGCCCCGTACGTGGCTAACACGTACGGGTAGCTGAACTTTTTACATTTAGTCAAGTGTCACTAAGGAAATTTCTTATAAACCCAAACATTTTGTTAACCACTGGTTCCTTTACTCTTTGGGGCAGGTTTCACGTTACGTTCACTTGAGGAAACAAAGGTTATTGTGTCCGTCTGGTTGAACCTAATTCCCCACTCAAGTTGTGTATGATACACTACCTATACTAAAATTTCCAAGGCAAGAGAGTTGAAGACCCCAGTGAGATGCTGGGAAGAATGAGAAGTGAGGCAGCCACCCAGACACAAGCAATCCTAGCGGGCATTGGTCTACTTGGCTCACTCCTGGCCTAAGAAAGCCCACCCTCTCTGATTCCATGACACAGACCCTGGCTCACAGTCATTTCATGATGGTAGAGCAACGCCTAGAGCACTTCAGCAGTGACCAGAGGCTCTGAAACCCAGTTCCCTAAAGTGATGGGGTGCACCAAGCACCTCAGAAATATCACAGTATGAGTTTTGTTTATGGGGCACCAACTGTGTGCCTAGCATTCTGCATATATCACTTTTTTTTTTTTTTTTTTTTTTTTTGGAGACAGGGTCTCTCTCTGTCACCCAGGCTAGGGTCCAGTGATGCAAACACAGTTCACTGCAGCCTCAACCTCCTGGGCTCAAGTGATTTCCCTACTTCAGTCTCCTGGCTTCCTGAGTAGCTGGGACTGCAGACATGCACCACCATGCCTGGCTAATTTTTCTAAGTGTCACTATGTTGCCCGTGCTGGTCTGAAACTTTTGAGCTCAAGTGATTCTCCTGCCTTGGCACAAGGCAGCTGCCTGCGGCAGGTATCAACAACCTTGTGCTTTCAAGTGAGCACATCAGAGTGCTAGCCTTGCCACCACCATGACCCTGATCACTTTAGCAATGGCTCTCCATAACACAGTCAGGTCATGACAGCAGCTTGGCTGGATAGGCAGACCCTGGAGGGCAGTGGTGTGAACGTGGCTCACTGCAGCCTCGACCTCCTGGGCTCAAGCGATCCTCCCCCACAGAGCCTCCTAAGTAGCAGGGACTACAGGCACATGCCACGACACCCAGGCTAATTTTTTTCTTTTTTGTAGATGGTGGCCTCACTATGTTGCCCGGGCCGGTCTCAAACTCCTGGGCTCAAGTGGTCCTCCCACCTCGGCCTTACAGGTGTGAGCCAGCACACCAGCTCCTTCCTATTTTCATCAGCAAGCTCTGGCCATGGAGATTTGACTTAGCAGGATGTAGGGTTAAGGCCCTAGCATTCATATTTTTAACACATGCTCTCAGGGAGCTTGAGGGCCACTCTAAAGACCCTTCTTCTCCCCAAAGAGAGGCAGCACAGAAACACCACAGGCATGGCAATATCACCCGTCACCTCCTGCAAGGATCTGAAGATTAAGCCCTCTGACTTTGTTTCCTAATGCCACGTGACAGATTGCCACAAGTTTTGTAGCTTTAAACAACACAAATATATTATCTTACAGGTCTGCAGTCAGAATTCTGAAACAGGTCTCATGGGCTAAAATCAAGGATTCAGCAGGGCTGTGTCCCTCCTGGATGCACAAGGGGAGGATAACCCATTTCCCTGTCCGTCCCCGAGAGGCTGCCTGCCTTAGCTCGTTGGAGGGAGGAAACCCTGCAAGTGCTGTGGCAAGGCTCTGAAGCCTCAGCCTGTTCCAATATAAATATTTAGAAAAGAATTAGAAATGTAGGCACCTAGTTATTCCTTTATATAATAATACGTAATCTTATAGTTACTCACTTATAATCATAAAGATATATACTCAATATAACCTTTAATTTTACTAATGACTATTGGGTTAGGAAGCATGGAACTGAGGTGACGTCGTGAGCAAAGCGGTCCTAAGGCAAGATGCTCTAAGCCGTCTGTGACGTCCGCGTAGGGCTGCTGGAGGGCGCCTCGGCTGTGCAGCAGCGCCAGCGCTGGGAAAGCACCTGCTATTTAGCCAGTTAGGGAAGGAGACGTCCAAAATGGCTGCGACGCCTTCTTCCTGGAGGAGTCAGGAGAAAACTCCATTCTTCCAAGCTCTTGTGGCAAGGCCCGATGGCTGTCAGGGACACCCGCAGACCTCCGGGGGCTTCACTGTCTCTGTGTAATGCTGTGCTTCGGTGGTCACGCTCCACGTCTACTCTCCCACCCTGCTTCTGCATCTGGTTTCTCTTTTTCTTAAAAGATAAGAATTAATGATAGTAGCATAATCTTAGTGTCCTTGGTATTTCTGGCAAATAGGAGAAGAGCGCTGACTCATTGGCTTTCTCCTCCCGTCAGCTACTTGAAAGTCTTGGGCCCCCTATCTTCAAGATGTGTGATTGACCTGACCCTATCACTGACCACTGTTACCTCACCCTACCTTCCCTGCCCCCTGCTTTGTACTCAATAAAAGTCATGAGTGTCCTGGCACTCGGGGCCACTGGAGGTCCCCACGCTTTGGCTGGGAGTGGACCTCTGAGCCCACATTCTCTTTTCTCTATCTGTGTCTGTGTCTTTTATCTCTGCAGTTTCTCATCTCCACACCAACAGGGAAGGGCTCACAGAAACCTATGGGGCTGGACCCTATAGCTCATAGCCTCTCCCTCCATCTTCAAAGACAGCAGCATGGCTTCTTCCAATTTCTCCTCCTATAAGCCTCCTGCCTCCCTCTTCTCTCTTCTCAGGGCCCTTGTGAATGCACTGCGCCAACCAAGATCATCCGGGAGGATCTCTGCATCTTCACGTCCTTCATCTTGCCAGTCTGCCACATTCCCACATTCTCCCTGCCCTCCATGAAAGGGAAACTGGTTTTGCAGTTTCTGTGATGCTGATCCTAGACTTTAATGGGATCATCGAAGTTCAGTGAGAAGCCCTGGCAAGGCTGAGCGGGAGGGGAGGAGACGCGTATGTGTGAGGAGGAGAGGAGAGCATCCCCTCCGCTGGGCTTAGGCAGAGAGCCAAGGGTACGACTAAAGCCAGGCTGTCTCTGTCTGCATGCTGGCCCAGCCTGTGCTTCTCAGCAGAGTGGCCTTGAGCAACTCAACCTCTTCATGCCTGTTTGTCCCACAGAAAATGGGGACTGTACGAGTGAGGAATGCCCAGGAGTGGTGGCTCACACCTCTAGTCCCAGCACTCACACCTCTAGTCCCAGCACTCTGGGAGGCCAACATGGGAGGCTCACTTGAGGCCAGGAGTTTGAGACCAGCCAGGGCAACATGGTGAGACCCTATCTCTACAAAAAATACAACAATTAGCAGGGAGTGGCAGCACACATCTATAGTCCCAGCTACTCAGGAGGCTGAGGCAGGAGGATCATCTGAGCCCAGGGGGTAGAGGCTGCAGCGAGCCATGATTGTGCCACTGCACTCCAGCCTGGGTGACAGATACTGTCTCAAAAAAAAAAAAAAGAGAGAGAGAGAGACAAAATGAGTGAATGTATGGGAAATAAATGAATCAATGCTTGGCACATAGGAGCTACCGGGGACCTGCTTGCTGCCGCCGCCATCTCAACAGTGAGCTTCGTGCAGAGCCAAGCATGGAAGTCCCTTCCACATGGTGGAACACGGCACAACACTGAAGAGGCGAGGACACGTCCAAGTGACAACGTGCATTCCCACCGGCTTGGGGCAACGAGGGCTTGGATTAGACAATAAAACACCTGCCATCTGTATGGTCGCACCTGCTACAAGAGACAGGGGACATACTTTACATGCAAGGCAAGGGGGTCTCTTGCCCTTCTAGCCCTGCAGCTTGGGTGCCAGAGCCCTGCTAGCTGTGACCCCAGCTTGTGCTGCCCTCACAGAGGAGGCTGGGAAGGGTGGGGACGGGGCGGGGCCACCGAGTCATAGTAGGGCCCCCCTTTATATACAAGCTCCCGGGGAGCCTCACAGACCAGACCAACACTAACACCAAGGGCAGGTGGGCAGGCCCCAGCCCTCCTCCCCCACCCCAGGGCCCACTGCAGCCTCAGCCCAGGAGCCACCGGATCTCCCAACACCATGGTCCGATACCGCTTGAGGAGCCCGAGCGAACGCCCACACGAGGAGTACAGGCAGCTGGTGAACAGGCAGGAGCAAGGACGTAATGCCCAAGAGGAGCAGGGGCTGAGCCCAGAAGGCGTCGGGGTCTATGGGAGAACCCACCGAACCTGCTATCGCCACAGGCGCAGGCGCTGCTCTCGCAGGAGGCTGTACCGGATCCACAGAAGACGGCGTCGCTCCTGCAGAAGGCGCAGAAGGCGCTGCTGCCGATACCGGAGGCGGCACCGCAGAGGTCTGCCCGTGCCCCCCTGAATGCCCCTGACCACCCCAGGCACAGGAGGGAGGCTGGGACCCACCCCACCTGGCAGAGGCTTCAGCTCCCTGACCCCCGTCCCCACCCAGAGTCCCTAGGTGCCCCCCTCAACCAGATCTTTCTTTCCCCAAAAGTCTGCAAATCCAGGAGGAGGAGAAGATGCAGAAGGTACTAAGCTTCCTGGGCCCCTCGCCCCCTGCTGGAAAGTAAAAGTCACCTGCCTGAGAAACACCAAGTGAGGCCATAGCAACACCCCTACATCAAATGCTCAAGCCCTGAATTGCTGCTGAGAAGCTCACAAGATCTGAGTGAAATGTGCCAAAGTCACCTGCCCAATAAAGCTTGACAAGATACTCGCTGGCCTATTGGGGTCTCCTTTGCACAAACTGCATAAACCTGGCTTCCGTCTCACCCAGGGTAGATAGAGGCTTCTCTGCAGCCCTTCTTCGAGGGCGGGTAGGGCGGGAGCTCTGAGGCTCTTAGGGCGCCTACGAGAGGGTTACTGTGCCTGGGGGTGAAGCTGTCCTGCCCGTCGCGCATCTTTCCATGCTGTCAAAGGCCACATTATTCTGTCTTGATCCCCTTCCAGTGAAGAACCTAATCCTACCCCAAAGATGTCAAGGCATCTTGTAACCATATTTAAAAGACCTACTGTGTGCCATAGTTTAAAAACACAATCCATGGGTGGTTAGAAGTGTAAATAGTGGGGGCAAAGGAGCAGTGCAGACAATGGCTTCAAGGTGGGACGCAGGTCTGGCATGCTCCAGCAACAACTCAGTTAGCACAGAGGGGGCAAAAGGCAAGGAGCAGATGAATACAGAGTAATGGGCTGGCTATGTGAGGCCTGGGCTGACTGAGGCCTCTGGAGACTCAGGGAGAATCCGATGCTTGCTGCCTGCTCTCCTTAGCTTGTGGGTGCATCACTCTGTCTGAAATCAAGGACCCTTGATTGTACTGAGGGTCTTTCCGGACAAACCAGGATAACCTCCCTATCTCAATCCCCATCTCACATCACAAATTCTAGGATCAGGACGTGGGCATTTTGGAGAGGCATTTAGCATTTGGAGAGATCCAACCTCTGTGTTGGAAAATGGATTCCTGGTGCTCAGAAATGACCAATCTTTATGAGATGGAGTTTTGCTCTTGTTACCCAGGCTGGAGTGCAGTGGCACATCTCGGCTCACTGCAAACTCCACCTCCTGGGTTCAAGTGATTCTCCTGCCTAACCTCCTGAGTAGCTGGAGGAGCAAAAAACTAAAAGGTTTCACCATGTTGGCCAGGCCGGTCTGCAACTCCTGACCTGAGGTGATCCACCTGCCTCGCCTCCCAAAGTGCTAGAATTACAGGCATGAACCACCATGCCCAGCCTGAAAAAATTTAAATTTAAAAAATACCACTGCCATTTACAAAAGACTCGTTTCAATGTATAAAAAGAAAAAGTCAACCAGGCACGGTGGCTCATGCCTATAATCCCAGCACTTTGGGAGGCTGAGGTAGGAGGATCACAAGGTCAAGAGATCAAGACCATCCTGGACAACATTGAGACCATCCTGTCCCTAATAAAGATAGAAAAATTAGCTGGGCATGGTGGCAGACACCTGTAATCCCAGCTACCTGGGAGGCTGAGGAGAATCGCTTGAACCCAGGAGGTGGAGGTTACAGTGAGCCAAGATCGCACCGCTGCACTCCAGCCTGGTGACAGAGTGAGACTCTGACTCAAAAAAAAAAAAAAAAAAAAAAAAATGATGGGTCAGGGGTGGTTGTAGTTACAGGCTCACGCCTGTAATCCCAGCACTATGGGAGGCTGAGGTAGGCAGATCACAAGGTCAACAGAATGAGACCATTCTGGCCAACATGATAAACCCCGTCTCTATTAAAAGTATAAAAATTAGCTGGGTATAGTGGCAAGTGCCTGAAGTACCAGCTACTTGGGAGGCTGAGGCAGGAGAATCGCTTGAACCCGGGAGGCAGAGGTTGCAGTGAGCCAAGCTCTCACCACTGCACTCCAGCTTGGCAACAAAGTGAGATTCTGTCTCAAAAAAAAAAAAAAAAAAGTGCTAACCTCCCTCCCCCCATGCTGAAATGGTGCTGCACAGACAGGGAACCTTGCTACGGGGCAGTTCCATGATGTCTTCAAAGAGGCATGTGGCCCTAAACAACTTAGAGGAAGTCACCCCACCCTGACCTGGGAGAGTGGCATCCGGTTGCTGGTGTCCATCTCATATCAGTCAGGGACAGAGCAATCCCTTGTTCATCCCAGCTTGGCTTCTGGCCTTAGACAAACAAAAAAAGCTTAGACGCCATTGCTTTTCAAGATGTCACACTTTCAGGCCCCGGAAGGAAGAGTTCTAAGGGTTCCTGAGTTTTATGAAGGTAAAGCATACAGAGTGCACACAGCTTGGTGATTTATTCCGAAGGGTCAGCAGTCAAGAAACAACATAGACAGCTCTCTCTGGTTGATTTTCTGGAATGTGAGGAGTCTGTGTGTGCCCCCACCCCCACACTTCTAGAAATTCAATCCCTAACTGCCATCCCAGCTACAAGGGAAACTTTCTCCCAGGCAAATCAGGACCATGGTGTCGGCGCTGGCCCCAACACTCTGCCTTGCAGACCTGCCCTGTAGGGGCTGGAAGCTGCTGGTGGCTGAGGTCTGAGTCAGCTGTTGGCTCAGACCCAGGTTCCCAAGTCGGGGTGGGCTCCAGGAGCCCCTTTGTGATGTCAGCATCCTGCCCCCACTCACAGCCCCTCCACCAACTACCTCACCTCCCAGTCCAGAGAGACAGGCCACGTGGACCATGGGTTCCCACTGTGCCAAGCTCAGCACAGGCCACAGCCCGGGCCATAGCACTGGCCACAGCATGGGCCACAGGACGAGCCATGGCCGTGGCCACGAATCCTCCATGAAGAAGCTCGTGGCTTGCGTGAGTCAGGATAACTTCTCCCTGTCATCAGAGGGCGAGGAAGACGAGGAGGAGAAAGAGGAAGAAGATGAGGAGGAAGAGGAGCTGCCGGTCCAGGGCAAGCTGCTACTGATGGAGCCGGAGCGGCAGGAAGAGGAGGACAGTGCCAAGGCCAAGCAGAGCCCCGAGCCCAAGCAGACGCACTCCTGACCCGTGACAACAGCCAGGAAGGGGCGCGCACCACTGCTCCCACCAAAGTATTCAGAGAGGAGTCAGTAAAAAGTCTCTGAGGAATCCTGTCTCTGGTGTCCCCTCACCCCCTCCCTCCCGGTACCGCATGTGCACATGTGTGTGAATGTGTGAGCGTGTGGGTGTGGGCCTGTGTGGGTGCGCGTGGAGGAAGGCTGAAGAGCAGGGCTCGGTGACCTTGTTCCCAAGCCCCAGCCAGAGGTTCAGGGTCTTTGGGAGGGCGAATCATCTCAGCCAAATCTTCCCGTCTCTGGGACAGGATAACTGCCTTCATCCCACTGTGCCCCCTAACCCCAGACAGACTTTTAAGAACATTGGCTTAAACTTCTTTTCTGCCAGCTGGGTGCCCTTGAGCAAGTCACTGTGTGTCTTTGGACCTCAGTCTGCCCCTCCCAGCATTTGGGGGAAGCTAATAGCTACGCAAGGGTCAGCCGATGAGGAGAATTAGCTAGAGTACTGGGTGGGACCAGGCCTGGCACCACCAGTGCCGAGCTAGAACAGGGATTGTTGCTGGGGTCATAGTCAGCCTCAGACTCTTCCGCTGCCAGTCTATGCTGCCGGCGACCATCTGCACCCCCAGCTGGAAGCTCACTCCTGCCTTCTTCAAGGGGTCTAGCCCTGGGGGCAGAGACAGTGCCCCATGAGAGGAGCAGGCAAAGGAGGTCCAGAGAGGTGACTGGGTGCAGACACAGAACCCAGGCCCCGTCCTCTGGCTCTGGGCTCAGTGCACCTTCTGTGAGAAGCTTCAGAACATGTCTTCTGCCTACCCCAGCCCTGGCTCCTCCCTCACCCTTTCCATCCAAAAGAAGTGACAAATGTGATCGCCACCCCATTCCCTCACAGTCCTCCAGGCCCCAGCCACCTGCCCCCAAGGGGATCCTAGTTGGTGCCATGGCAGTGGGGCTGGAGGGTGGGAGTTTTCAGGGAAGCCTCGGTTTCTCCGGGGGCTATGTGTGAGGGTAGGAAGGGGCCTTGGGCTACCCCGAGGTGAGGCCACTGCTCTGCCTTGCGATGGCCGAGGGTAGGCTGGAGGGAAGGGGAGGCCTCGATACTCCACCACTCCCAGCCCCACAAATGACTCGTTTGGCCAGCTTTGTTCTTTTGTCCAAGGCCCAAGGTCCACCCGCCCATTCATTTGCCTAGGAAACATGAGCTGAGCCCCTGTCTTACGCCCAGCACGGTGCTAGTCACCAGGGGTGCTGGTACTAATGAAACACAGTCCCTGCCATCCTGGAAGAGGGTTCACCAGTCATGGGGGCGGGGGCAGGTATGTGACGTGCTGCACACCTGCTGCTGGGAGAGGTTGGCCCTCCCTGGGAGGGCTGGAAAGGTGTGTGGAGGAGAGACCAGTTGATGGCAGGCCGAGATCTCCACGCTCTGCTCGAAGGAGGGGAAGTGGGGCGTCGGCAGTGGAGGAGCAGGAAGTCATGGGAAGAGGGGTCCAGAGACCCACACAGCCCACTACTGGACCCGCTGAGCCCACCCACGGCAAGGCCCTGAGAACCCTGCTGTATGTGCGTCTCTAAGAACCCCTTAGTGACCTCCAGAGGCAGCCAGACCTGAATATGAGTGGTCTGCCCCTGAGCGGCTGAGGGGGACTCTGGGCTGGCTCCTCCACCTCTCTGAGCCTGTTCCCTCTTTACTAAATGTAATCATTATACCTGCCTCACAGGGTATGTTAGTTTCCTGGGGCTGCCATACCAAATTACCACAACCTTGGTGGCTAAAAACAATAGGAATGTGTTTTCTGCAGTTCTGAAGGCCAGAAGTGTGAAGTCCAAGCACCAGCTGGGCTGACCTCCCTCTAGAGGCCTTAGCAGAGAATCCTTCCTTGCCTTCTCTAGTTCATAGAACTCCAAGCTCGTCAGCCGGGCGAGGAGGCTCACGCCTGTATCTCAGCACTTTGGGAGACCAAGGTGGGCAACTCACGAGGTCAGGAGTTCAAGACAGCCTGGCCAACATGGTGAAACCCCATCTCTACTAAAAATACAAAAATTAGCTGGACATGGTGGCATGCACCTGTAATCCCAGCTACTCGGGAAGCTGAGGCAGGAGAATCGCTTGAACCTGGGAGGCAGAGGTTGCAGTGAGCCAAGATTGTGCCACTGCACTACAGCCTGGGCAACAGAGTGAGACTTTGTTCCAAAAAAAAAGAGAACTCCAAGCTCGTCTCCATCTTTACACAGTTTCCTCTTCTCCCTGAGTGACAACTCTTCTGTCCCTCGTAAGGACATTTGGATTTGGATTTAGGGCCCACCGGCTAAGCCAACATGCTTCTCTCCAGATTCTCAGATTAAAAACATCTGCAAAGACCCCCTTTTCCAAATAACGTCACATTGACAGGTTCTAGGAGTTACAACACGGACATAGATTTTGGGGGGCCGCCATTCAGTCCACTTTAAAGGGGTACTTTAAGGCTTGAGGGCAAAGCTGCCTGGAGAGAGTGAGGCCCAGAGCCCAGCCACGTAGAAAGCATTCAGTAAATGAGAGCAGTTCTCACTGTGAGAAATTTCACGTTTATTAAGAAATAAACTGCAGCCGGGCACGGTGGCTCAAGCCTGTAATCCCAGCACTTTGGGAGGCTGAGGCGGGTGGATCACGAGGTCAAGAGATCGAGACCATCCTGGTCAACATGGTGAAACCCCGTCTCTACTAAAAATACAAAAAATTAGCTGGGCATGGTGGCGCACGCCTGTAGTCCCAGCTACTCAGGAGGCTGAGGCAGGAGAATTGCTTGAACCCAGGAGGCGGAGGTTGCGGTGAGCCGAGATCGTGCCATTGCACTCCAGCCTGGGTAACAAGAGCGAAACTCCGTCTCAAAAAAAAAAAAAAAGAAATAAACTGCAAAGGCTGGGCATGGTGGCTCATGCCTGCAGTCCCAGCACTTTGGGTGGCCAAAGCAGGAGGATATCTTGAGCTCATGAGTTGAAGACCCACCTGGGCAACAAAACGAGACCCCGTTTCTCCAAAAAGAAAAAAAAATTCAAATAAATTAGACAAGTGTGGTGGCATGCACCTATAGTCATAGCTACTCAGGAGGCTGAGGTGGGAGGATCATTTGAATCGAGGAGGCTGCAGTGAGCTGTAATCATGCCACTGCACTCTAGCCTGGGCAACACAGCAAGACCCTGTCTTGAAAAAAAGAAAAGGAAAAAAACTTCCATGAAAGCAGATGATCGCAAATCCTCACAGCAAGAGGCAAAGCTGCACATGGGCAAAGTGAGAAGGTACCTTGGGCTGGGGCCTGCTGGAGGAGGGGACACCGAGACAGAGGGCGCTCCGTGCATGGACCAGTGGGGAAGTAGAGGCCTAGGGCCAAGCACAAAGGCATTGGCCAAGGCGGGGAGGGGTCGGGGCTCTGAATGGACACCCAAAGAGTAGAAGATCAAAAGGCCTGGTGCTCAAACATAAGTCTGGGCTTTCTTCTCCAGTCGCTGGGGTCTCTGAGCAGGGAAGGCGTGATTCAGACTGAACAGCAAGCCTTCGTTAGCAGGGAGGGGAGGAGAATCAAGAGGCAGGAACTGAAGGAGAAAGACGGGTTTCCAAGGGCCTCCTATAGCTTGACAGGGACCTCAGACGCACAAGAATACAAGGAAAGAGGGAAAGACACCTCTTTGTCACATAAGGCAACGAAGCCTCAGAAACCGCAATGGCCTACCCAAGGTTCGACATCAGTGCAAACTGGGATTTGAACCTGGCTCAGAATCTCCCGACATTCCACCTGGCTGGGGGAGGCGGGCTTGCCAGGAGGGCCCCAGAACCACCCCTTGGTCCACGTGGTTACTCATATTTCACCCATCCACCAAGTCATCTGATCAATTTATCACCTCCCCATCATCCGGGCACTAATCATCTATCTTACCAACTGCCCACCATTCAGCTGCCATCACTAGGGACAGGGCTGCACCTCTGGCACCCAAGCTGCCGAAGGGGTTAAGAAAAAGACCTGATGATGCTGGTCAGTGATGTTTACTGAGCTCTTATTGTGGGCTGGGCCTGGGCTAACTGCTCGACATAAATTCTCTCCTTTATTAGTAATTCTTCTAATGTCCGTATGAGATGAGTACAATTATTGTCTCTATTCTGCAGAGATGGGGAAACTGAGGCTTGTTCAGGTGAATCCCCAGGGCTGACCATGCAGAAAAAGCAGACCTGGGATGCAGACAAAGCTCCACCTGACCCAAGGGCTCCTACTCTGAACCAGCAGCTGGGACTACCCCAGGGTACCCCTAAGCGCTGCCCCGCCCTGGGGATGAGGGTAAGGGGTAGGGGGCTTTGTCTTGGCTGGGCCACATCTGTCACATCCCTGTGGCCTGTGGCATCATAATCAGCCCCAGCTATATAACCAGGGGCTGCCAGGGCCTCTGTAAATCTAGGCCTGCTGGGAGAGGAGGAAGAGGAGGCCCTGCCCCTCCAATCGTGGCCTCCTATGGACACCAAGACTCACAGCCTTCCCACCACCCAGCCCCATAGCAGCTCTCGGCCCCAAGGCCCCACCTGCAGGCCGTGCACCTGCAGCCACCACTGCCAGACCTGCAGCCAGCACTGCAGCCAGGGCCGGAGCTCTAGCCGGAGCCCGACCACCCACCACAGCCCACCCGGCGCCCACAGCTCAGCCGGCCGCCAGAGCCAGAGTCCCAGCCCCAGCCCACCACCAAGGCACCACAAAAAGACCATGAACTCCCACCACTCTCCCACGCGGCCCGCCATCCTCTACAGCAGCTGCCCCAAGAGAAGAAAGAACTTGGAAGGCAAGATGAACAAGAGAAAAATGGCCAAGAGGATCCGGCAGGTGTACAAAACCAAGAAGCGGAGCTCAGGTACCCTTTAGGGAGGTGGGGAAGGGTCACAGAGCCCGTGGATGAAAGAGCAGGCCCTGGGGGCAGTGAGGGGAAGGGTGCAGCCAGGTCACAGAGGAACCACAGGCAAGGATGAAGAGGTAGAAGAGAAACAATGGCAGTCGGCCAGCTGAATGTATCAACACTGACAGACTTTGAATAAATTGCATGGGTTGACTGGAAGGATGGAAGGTTGGACAGTCAGCAGAGCAGATTAGCTAGATGGAAGCATGAATGGGGTTGAGAGGTTGGGGGGATGAGTGGGTGGGTAAATAACAAATAATAGAAAGGATAGTTGGAAGAATGCATTGGTTGAATGGCAGGAAGGTTGGATGTGATTAGCTGGATGGATGAATAAGCGGATTAATGCACTGGCTGGCTAGTCATTGGTTTTGTTAGGTAGAGGATTAACTGGAAGAATATGGTTGGTAGATGAAATGGTTGAATACAGAGCTAGTTTTGACGGGTTGGTTTGATCGGTTAAATAATAGTTGGCTAGGTAGGTGGATGATAGCTCAGATTTCTAGACAGATGGAGGGATGATGAATTGATACATGTATTTGAATGAACTGATAGATGGAAGAACAGATGTCTAGACTAATGGGATAGAATGGGGAAAGGAATAGAATGGGTGAACTAATGAATGGATGGATGACAAACAGAAGGGATAAATGGATGGATGGACAGATTCACAGAGGTTAAAAGGACACTGACGGTAGTCTAAACTCTGTCTCCGCCCCACATGCAATCACGAATTAGTTGTAAGACATAAAGGTCAGTGATTTCATGACGTGCTCAGCTATTAAAGGTTCCTTTCTCACTATTAATCCCTTAGGACAGAAATCCAACGAATGAGACTGCACTCCTTGGCTTGTTCCTGCGTGTTTCACCCAAATGAGAAACGCTATCATGCATAGAATGCTAGGATGAAGTCCATCTTCTTGCAGGAACATGTTACTATGGTGATTTCTATGCAACACTAATTAAAGCTTGTACCCTGCAAGACTATCCCTGAGTAGTCATTTTGATTTCACTAATAAAGGCGTTACATGTTTTTGGGGCCTGCAAAGGGACGGAAATAAATGGGGATGGGATGCCAAGAAGCCTGCAGAGTGGATGGGCAACACTGCCTGAATAACACATCTTTTTGCCCTATGCTCACACACGGGTGTGTACATATGTGGACACACAAGATGTGCACAGGTCCACATCTACTCATGTGATCCACAGAACACGACAGGAGACAGGAAGAGGGGTTCAGAATGTGCATTCTGCAGTCCAGAGCATCCTGAGTTTGAAGCCTGGCTCATCTTTTGTACTTGCTGTGTGACCCTGTGACCCTGGACTGTGATCCATCTCTGAGCCTCACTTTTTGATTCTGTAAAATAGTACCAACCTCAACGTTCCCCAAGGCTGCCATTTCAACACTTTTACTAAAGGACCAAAGTCCACTCACGGCTGTGCTCGGCTCTGGAAACAGAACTAGAGAACACACAAGGTCCTGCCCTCATGGAGCTTACAGTCCAAACACACAAGACTTGTCAGAATGAGCTGTATTAAGGAAGCAGATGTCATGTCCCAGTGAGGGAATGAGCCTGGGTTAGAAATTGTGTTCCAGAGGATGAGGGAATGAGCCTGGGTTAGAAATTGTGTTCCAGAGGAGCTGGCGTAGAATCTGCAGGTGCTGAGACACGAGCTGGGGGCACCAGGCAGGGGCCAGACCATGCTGGGGTTGGACCAAGTTCAGCAGGAAGGAGCCTGGACATTATTCCTGGTGTGAGAAGTCAGAGGAGGCTCTCAAGGGTGAGTTGATGGATGGAGTCTGGTGTGTGCTTTTTTCTGAGGCCATCTCACTGTCACCCAGGCTGGGGTTGTGGTACAATCATGGCTCACTGTAGCCTTGATCTCCCAGGCTCACATCATCCTCCCATCTCAGGTTCCCAAGGAACATGACATGCGCCACAATGCCTTTTTTTTTTTTTTTTTTTTTTTTTTTTTTTTTTGAGATAGTCTCTCTCTGTCACCCAGGCTGGAGGGTGGTGATACAATCTTGGCTCACTGCAACCTCTACCTCCTGAGTTCAAGCAATTCTCCTGCCTCAGCCTTCCAAGTAGCTGGGATTACTGGTACCCACTACAATGCCTAGTTATAGTTTTGTATTTTTTTTCCTCACTGTGCAGGTATTCTGTCACTGCCTTTTACAATTTTTATTTCATTTTAAATTCTGGGATACATGTGCAGAATGTGCATGTTTATAACATAGGTACACATGTGCCATGGTGGCTTGCTGCAAAAACCCATTATCTAGGTTTTTAGCCCCGCATGCATTAGGTATTTGTCCAAACGCTGTCCTTCCCTTTTGCCCCAACTCCCTAATTTTTGCATTTTTTTTTCTAGTAGAGATGAGGTTTCACCATGTTGATCAGGCTGGTCTCAAACTCCTGAGCTCAAGTGATCCACCTGCCTTGGCCTCCCAAAGTGTTAGGATTACAGGCACAAACCACTGTGCCAAGCCTGGTGTGTGTTTTCAAAATGGCACTGGCTGCTGTGTGGAGACTGGACTGCAGGGGATGGGGCAGGTACAGCAACTGGCAGAATGGTAGCTTGGTCTAGCAGAGAGATTTCCCAATTACTGAGTACCCGCTTGTGTGGGCTTTGGGAGAAGGCCCAGGAGGGGAGATAAGGGTGAACCGGACACAACCCTGCTTCCAAGTAGATGTGGAGATAGCTATGGACATGAATCTTAGGAAAACCTGACGTGAATCTTAGGAAAACCCGCCCCCATCTGCAAAATGGGCACCCTTGCTGTGGGGCTGGGAGAGATCAATGTGCCATGTGTCGTGACACAGTGTCCGGGCTCAGTGCGTGGCACTCAGTGAGCCTCTGCTATTAATACAGCATAAAAAGTACCAGGCAGATTTTCATGAAGGAATGCTGGCTGCCAGACCAAAGGACTGGGGAATGGTCAGCATCTGTGTAAAGTGGCTTCTGACCTTCACGCCCACCAGCCTTGGTTTTAGGGTCAGACTCATCTGCCCTGATTCTTGCTCTCCTAGCTGTGGGTGCTAGGACTACACCACTCTGAGCCTCACTCACCTCCTCTGTCGAAGGGGGTCATAATTCCGACATGGTGGGGGGCAGGGTACCCAGCAGCCTGATGTGTGGGAAGTTGCCCAGCACAGTGCCAGACACAGGGTCACTTTGTTTCCTTTCGTGTGGCATTTGGCATTTGGGCTGAAGGAATGAGTGATCAGATGCAGGGAGGTGGGACAGGAGTAGAAATGAGTGGTGTGGGGTGTCTGCAGTGGAGGGAAACGGACCCAGATGTCTTGGGGAAGGCCTTGCAGGACTCTGAGCTTTGCTGGGCTCCTCCTAGGCAGTGGCGTGCCATGAAGTTCCTCTTTCAGATCTCAGCTGTGTGGCCTTGAGCAACTCAGGTCCCCGTCTGCATCCTGGTGTCTTCTGTAAAATGGGAGGCTAACGGTGCCTCCTGTCCCTGCAGGGGTTCACTGAGACAATGCACCTGCAAGCATCCAACAGAGGGCCTGGTGCATCCCATCAAGGCCGCTCTACGCCACTGTCAATCTCCTTTCCCTGGGCTCCTTTATCCTCGCCTCACAGCAGGGAAATGTTCCATGGTGTGGGGAAGGACCGAAGCAGGCTTGGGAATTTATTGAGCACCGACTAGACGACAGACATTTTGACATAAACGTTTGCACAGAATCCACACTCTTCAACAAGAGATATTATTGCTCCCACTGTACGGATGAAGAAGCTGAGACTCATAGGTGAAATAACTTGGTCAAGGACAACTGGTAGGCAGGTCTGAGATAAGAGACCTTACTGAAAATGTAAGGCCATGTTAAGCCATGATAGTCACTGACACATCAGTGCAAAACAATTTAGGAACACATTTTGAAAGAGGAAGTGGAGACAGGGTTAGATGTAAGGTCGGGGACTTTGAGCCCCACTCACCAAAGGACCTCCTGACTTCCTGACCTCTTTCCTTTTATGATATGATAACTGAAGGCAGATCTTTTATTATAAGCCAATGGGCTGGGTCACGTGTGTGGCTTATGGTGCTATCCTTAACTCCACATTTCCCTGAAATCAACACTGAGACGAAAGTGGCACAAATTCAGTGATCACAGCTCATCACAGCCTCAAACTCCTGGCCACATAGATGAAAAAACAGCCGTGCAAACCCACTCAGACACTGAGACCCACATTCACACATGGACCCTCAAATACACACCCCCCCCCCCACTACACATGCATGCAGGCTCTCGGCCACCTCCCCCAACCCTTCCCACAGGAAACACACATGCCACCCTCACACAGTCAGACGCACGATGGTGACAGGCAAAAAAATCCAACCACAGATTCATTCTTTCACTTAGGGTGGGTGGCAGTAGGTCAGGGGCAGGTCTGCTGGAGACCCAAATTCAGGAAATGGAAAGCAACAGGCAATAAATTCAGCCAGCAATAGAGTGTGTGGGTTCTGAAGATGATCTATCTTGATATTCACAGATTTCATTTCAGTGAGCTACTTGGGGTGAGAGGTGAGGTTTGGAGAACAATGAGGTATAGCCTGGCCTGCCTGGGGTGACTTGGGGGGCTGTCACTCCCGCAGGCCTGAGGGATCACCAAGGGGAATGAAGTGGTCAGAGGGAAGGGCAGACCCTGGGTGGAGATGTTGATGTGAGCTATGATTTAAGAGGAAAAATACCTGAAACTCTGTAGCCACACAGACCCAGCTTCAAATCCCAGCTCCCCCTTTCCCTTGCTGGGTGACCCCAAGCCCATTCCTTAACCTCTCTGAGTCTCAGGTGCATCTTACACTTTGTAAAGAAGACTGAGGGGGCCATGCTAGTCACTGCTGCACCTCCAGGACTTAGCGCAGTGCCTGGCACATATTAGGAGTGCAGTAAATAGCTGCTGAATAAATAAAAGGAGCAGGCATTAAAGAAACAATGAGAAGCCACCACTTACC